AGTATTGACAATATGAAAAACTATACAGAATATGAAATAAAAAAAACTATACAGAAGTATGAGATATACAGCTATACAGAAATGTGAACTATGCAGGTTATAAACAGTTGCAGAATTAAAAATTATCGTTTTGTACAGAATGATGTGAGCTGCATCCACAGAAGAGAGGCCTGAGAGATGAAGACTCTGATTCCTGTTCAACATTAAAATTCTATACGAACCACAAGTACACCTAATATTCCAAAATTAAAATCTGGATTTCAAAGCTAGTCAGTGAAGACAAGCAAATATGCTGTCTCTTTATAGTCCCTGTCATGACTCTCTCAGCAGCACTTTTGATCCATCAATATTAAACAATTATTGATGCAGCGGATTGAGATGAAACCTAGCCCAGTAGGTGTCCCAGAAGAGAAATGTGTTGAAAGTTGAACCTCAACTATTCAGGATGATTTTTAATGAATTTTTGAAATAGCCAAAATTGTAGTGTATTGACTGTATTGAACTGAACATAAGTTCCCTGCAATTTCTGAAGAATATTACAGTGAATCTGGCTGAAACTTGGCCGAGAGGTACAGCAGGTTTCCCGGAGGAGGGATGTGTTGAAAGTTGTACCTCAACTACTATGGTTGATTTTTAATGAATTTCTGAAATTTCCATAATTGTAGTGTATTGGCTGTATTGAATTGCATATAAATGTCCTTAAATTTCTGAGGAATTTTACAGTGAATCTGGCTTAAACTTGGCACACAGGTACAGTAGGTGTCCCAGAGGAGGGATGTGTTGAAAGTTGGACCTCAACTACTCAGGATGATTTTTAATGAAGTTTTGAAAATTGACATAATTGTAGCGTATTGACCGTATTGGATTGAATAGAAGTTTCCATCAATTTCTGAGGAATTGTACAGTGAATCTGGCTGAAACCTGGCACACAGGTACAGTAGGTGTCCCAGAGGAGGGATGTGTTGAAAGTTGTACCTCAACTACTCAGGATGATTTTTAATGAATTTTTGAAATAGACATAATTGTATTGACTGTATTGGGCTGTTCCATTGTAATTTGTGTGTGTGCGTGTTCTGCGCGTGCGCGAGTATAGGCTTTCAATCAGGATATAAAGGGAAAAGGCGCTACGGTAAAGACTGGTGTAAAAGCACAAGGAAATTTATTCGGCGGATAGGAGGCGGCTGGCTTGACCGCGGCTCACAAATGACGGCTCACTTTACCGCGGTTGGAAATGCTAGCACTTGAAGCAGTGTTTTGATTTTGCTGCAACTCGTACATGCAACGCGCACAAGTCACGTGGTCTGTCGATCTCTATACTATACTGCTATGGTAGCCAACGTTTCAAATGCAGGTTTGACCTTTTTGTGAGTGTGCACTTTATCCGAAATGTAGTGAGGGTTTACTCATGTTTACAACCGGATGGCTGTAGCTCAGGCGGTAGCGCAGGTCACCTACTAATCGGAAGGTTAGTGGTTTGATCCCTGGCTCCCCTGATCTACATGTCGAGAGTATGAATGTAGTTGGCAAGCACTCAGTTTAGAGAAAGTGTGTGTAAAGGTAGCATGTTGTATAGAGCTCAGGGTTATAGTGAAATTTAAGTTGTTCTTTTGTGTGATTGCACACTGCCCATCACAGGACCCCTTCGTAAGCTGTACAGCACAAGTTTCATTTCACTTTTATCTATATATCACCAAATTACAACATCAGTCACCTGCTAGTGAGACTGTTAGTCACACAAATGGTGGACAGAAAGTAATTTCTGGACTTAGAAAAAATAAAATGACTCAAATAACATTTATGGTTTTAATTATTATTATTACACCTTTTTTCAGTCCTCTTATATCTATGACAAAGTGTGTATGGACTGTATCGGGGACCGTACCTTAACTGTTAAGCTCACCTTTTTAACATATATCTGTGTGCATTACTTACATAATATCAGTATGGCAAGGAGTTTATGACTTATCTGTTTTTCTTTTCTCAAAGAAAAGACAGAAAACTTCAATATATCATATATCACAATATGTGAAGTTACAGCACAATTTCACCCAATGTGTGCTTCTTTTTCAGTCAGGGTGCTTTTAGAGCATCTACATTAGCTCATGTAATAAAAGTACAATCAGCAAATGTACTTTAACATTTGAGGTTCCGATTGAGTCTTGCTTAGATGATGTGAACTATTTCATGGACCTTTTTTTGTACTATGCATCAAACCTATTCAAATCAGTCGTAATTTATTTAAACAAATCTAGGGAGAAGCAACTCCTTTTTAGCTTTTGTGATGCATTTACTTCTTATACCTTAAACTAGATGTTAGTGTTATCAAAGTTACCTTGTCTCATGTTGTCATCTTGTATTTCTAAAACCCAGCCTCAGTCTATGCCCTGTAGGCTCTCAGATGGAAACACCAATGAACTTAGATATTCACAAATTTCATCAGGCCATCTTTAACATGTTAGGTTTTTGTTATTTTCATGTTTTACATAAAAAAAACTTCATATTTTTATAGTTTCTAATGAAAGAAAAGTGACGTGAAAAGATATTTTTCTTTAGTGATGTTGCTAAAGGAATCTCAAATACTAATTATTCTGGGATTTTTATGGTCAAACTACATGATTTTCCACATGTGTGTGGAGTAAAATGACCTTTCTCTCATGATGCAAATGTTGTGACCAAGAATCATGCAGGATTAACAACACAAACCTGTCTTATAGTTCTCACACGTAACGTGTGAAGATGTCAAATAAAGATGTCTGACTTTGGAAGTAAAAGTCTTCGCTTGATTGCTACCATAAAGTCGCCGTACTTCAACATAACCTAACTGAACTCCATCGTATCGCCGCAAGGCAGATACAATGGAGTGCTGCAAAGGGGCTGAAAGGAACCAGTTACAAGCGAGATGAGGTGGTACTTGGTGGCCCCATGGGCCCTGCAGGAGAAGGTGCTTCGTGCAGTGCATGGAGCTTCAGGGTCTGGCCAATTTGGTGTCACCAAAGCAATCCGCTGCCTCCAGCAGGGGTTCTATTGGGCCTGACATAGGCGGGTGAAGAACTGAAAAGGATCTACCAGTTCTATGCGAGGAAGCTCCACATGGAGTCTGCTCATGACATTGCTAGGAGGAAACTGATAAGTGCAGGGGTGCGGCAGATATGGAATTAAGACATCCATTCCAGAGGCCAACATTTTGACCTCGGAGAACTGGTCTGGGTGTACAACCCCCAGAGGAAAAAGGGCGAATGCTCCAAGCTGGACAGTGACTGGGTTGGACCCTGTGGGTTCTGGAACGCCTGGGACAAATGGTGTACAGGGTACAACTACCCCCAAGGGGACGGAGGGTCACCCTGCACCCAAGGGGACGAACTGGCCCCCTATCGGTGCCCGGCCACTTTACTGGGACCATAGGGTGGGGCACGGAAAGACCTGGACTCCAACCGTAAAAAACTCTTCCACCACCATTGGGACTTCCACTGCTATGAACCCTGTGCCTTAGGTCACTTGGGTTACGGCCTCATCCGCACCTCCCGCCAGACGCCGTTGCCCAAGGAGGCACCATAGAGACCTCAAGGCTACCTTGACCAAGAACCTACATAGACATCTGATATCGTTACCTGTGACTGAGAACCTACACATACATCTGATCTCGTAAATCCACCTCTAAATTCTGGGACGCTGCTAGCTGCACCCACAAGCGAGAGTCCACCATGTGATGTTGTGGAAATCTTGATGCCGTCTGGCCGTGACCGAGAACAAACTTAATGCCCCCCAAGACCCCACGCATAAAGGAGCTGTGCATTGGCCGGGAATCAAACCCAGGTCTCCCGCGTGGCAGGCGAGAATTCTACCACTGAACCACCAATGCTCACACATGTGGCAGTTTTCTCACCAAATTCGCGCCATTGCCCAAGCGCTCCTCTCAAGGCGCAGCGGAAAATGTAGCCCGATACAGCCACGCGTCACTCATCAAGACACCTCTGTGGCAGCTCCCTGATGGTCTAGTGGTCAGGATTCGGCGCTCTCACCGCCGCGGCCCGGGTTCGATTCCCGGTCAGGGAAACTGTGTTTTGACCCACCTCCGGCTTACCCAAAAGGGACAAGCGGTAGACAATGGATGGGTTGCCTTTGCCACGTACTGTGTATCAAGAGAGCCTCAAGGCACCATCTCCACCGTCGTCAACAAATGAAGCTTGCAGAGCCCGATGAGGTGAAGGGTGTGACAGGACATCCAAAAAATGTGTGGCTGAACTGCGCATCAAAACATGCCTCCCGTGAGGATAGAGCTCAACACCGCCAGTTTTCGAGACTTGCGCATGGCAGGCGACAATTCTACCGCTGAGCTAACAACCCTTGCACGACCGCCAATTGTCCCGCTGAATTCACGCTACTGTCCAAACTCTCCTCTCCAGACGCTTAAAATGGATGCACAAACTCTGTCACCTACTGCGCATCAAAGAACATCGCTTGCGTTAGGCTACAAGTCACTACCTTCTGATTTCGTGATTCACATGTGGCAGGCGACAGTTCTACCGCTCAGCCACCAGCCCTTACAAGTCTGCCAATTGTCTCGTCGAATTCGCGCCACTCTCCAAAGTCTACTCTCAACAACATCTTGACTTAATGCAGATACAATGTCCAACCCAAGTTTGGTTTGCATAGACTTCTTGTTCCAACTTAACAGTCAGGCAAGAATGACTTCAAATTATCCCTCTCCATGGACCCTGTTGGCAAAGGAACTCCAGGCAACCTCCAGAGACTCAGCTCGGGAGCTGCTGATAACCAATTATCAGCCCTTGTTCATCCGCTTCCAATGCAAAGACATTCTTAACCCTACCTGACAAAGTGTCCAAGAAGAAATAACAGGTAGGAGTCATTTGGGAGCCAACGTGTGGTGCCCCGCAATTCTGACCTGAGAAAAGAAAGAGGAATTGTGGTGAAAGTTGGATGAAGTGGTTCCAGAGGGCCGGCACACATCCATAGGGGAGGATCGCCTGCCACGTGTGAGTCTTGAAATCAAACAGATGGGAAGGCTTTCCACGGTCAATGGCAGAATGATTTGGATTGAGCCCTGTTCTAGATCTCGCATCAGAGGAGGCTGAAAATCCACTACGAAGGAGTGGTTCTAAGGCTCCCGCAATTCTACGGTGGCTGGGAAGTGCAAATCGCAACAAATTACAAAAACCCACAACAAATTACAAAAACTCACAACAAATTAAAAAACCCCACAACAAATTACAAAACCCCACAACAAATTAAAAAACCCCACAACAAATTACAAAAACACACAACAAATTTAAAAAAAAACCCCACAACAAATTACAAAAACACACAACAAATTAGAAAAACCCACAACAAATTAAAAATCCTTGACGGGAAGGGATTCTTAATTTGCTTTCTGAAACATCAGATATGTTTCGGATTCAGTACCACATACGAAAGTGACCCAGATCGGATTTGAAAATATCGGAATTGTGCTGTTTTTACACTGTCATACCATGATTGGATATGGGTCGCATAGGGTAAAAATAAAAGTCGGATTTGATGCGCTTTCGCGTGCAGTGTGAACTTCGCCAGAGCCTCCACATGTTCTCACTGTAATTTGCCCCTCATGAATGAATTTATGATTGCACTAATTTGAATGTTCAAGAGAAAATCAAATGCATTTTACTCACAGTACCCTACAAACGTCACTGCTGATTAGTTTTCTGTCTTCATTTATGTTTAAAGCGATAGCAGAGCTGTACGTTTGAATTTGTTTCCAAAATCCCTCATTTAGATGGAAGCTAGCGAGCTAACTTCCTGCTAATTTCTAACTCTGTTAAATGTCATAAATTCCATTTCGTTTTCATGGTTGCCTGGATGATAAACTCAATTGTTACACATGGTAGAGCAGAACGCTGATCATTTTATTACAGATGAAAGACTTTAGATAGTTTTTCAACTCTCAGTGATTTATGGACCTGCAGCAGCGTTTGAGCCCAGACATGGCTAGTGACGTCAGACTTAAAGACCGGATAAAGAGTGATATGAACATATCTATAACTTACCGGAATGAAAATTTCTGGAGCACACCAACAGATATTTGGAGATGGAAGAGAACTGGATATCAGCTCATCTCACAGCTGCTATCCAGACTAGACGCCTTCTTTTGGTAACATCCGATACAAGAGCTGCCTCATGTTGCTTCCAGGTGGGGAAAGAATGAAAAGATAAACCATTTTCAACCTTATTCCCTTGCCGGTCGTGCGATCTAAGTTTACAACCAACCGCACAGCAAGTACGAACCATAGCTGGTGTTATCCGTGTACTTTCTCTCCTCTTTCGCTAGCGCTTTGTTTGGGCCAGAAACATGGCGCCTCAACCAAAAACCACGCCCCCTCTCGTGCCATCACACTCCAAAAGCCCTATTAGGCTAATCGTTGCGTCACTTCCGGTATTTCAGACAATCCCTTCCCATCAAGGATTTTTAATTTGTTGTGGGGGTTTTTGTAATTTGTTGTGGGTTTTTTTTTTATTTGTTGCGGGTTTTTAATTTGTTGTGGTTTTTTAATTTGCTGCGATTTGCACTTCCCAGCCACCGTACAATTCTGACCTGAGAAAAGAAAGAGGAATTGTGGTGAAAGTTGGATGACGTGGTTCCAGAGGGCCGGCACGCATCCATAGGGGAGGATCGCCTGTCACGTGTGAGTCTTGAAATCAAACCGATGGGAAGGCTTTCCATGGGCAATGGCAGAAACAAATGACATATCCCTCACTTTTAGTGCTGTTATTCCGATTGCTGGTATTTAAACAGTAAAGACAGGTGACAAAGATATCTCCTCGTTAGTATAGTGGTTAGTATCCCCGCCTGTCACGCGGGAGACCGGGGTTCGATTCCCCGACGGGGAGTGTGTATGATTTTTTGTTTTTTTTGGGGGGGTTTTTTCTTAATAAGATAAACCTTTATAACATACTATATGAAGGGTTCATAAACCTTTTTCACGGTCATATCCAAGCTTTTCAAGCACATTGCATTAGAGTGGACACTCTAATGACCATATGAAAATTAAAATAACTCATCCTAGGTTGACTTAAACGCAAAAGCTCAGAAATGAGCAGAGCTGTCTTAGCAGCCTGCCACGCATGGGAGGTGCTGGAAGTAATAGTTGATTATACAACGAAATAAGCATATGCATAACCATTTGCAAAAACAAGAAATGTGTGTGTCAAAAGATCCTGCCCCGTGTGAGGCTCGAACTCACGACCTTCAGATTATGAGACTGACGCGCTGCCTACTGCGCCAACGAGGCCTACGATGCAACACACCAATGGACCAACAAAAGTCATATTACCAAGAAATTGTCGATATCTAAAACCGGGAAGCAAATTGGAAAGGTTAAGGATTTGAAAATGTAAGGCTGATAAGTATTTTTGTCTCTTTTATTGATGCCTTCAAACAAACAAGTACAATTAGGGTCAGTAATATTAACAGTTAAGCCAAAATAAAAGCAACATAAAAAATTAAAGAAAATGCTTCTGTGTACCCAAAGAACATAGGGAACATAGAAATAAATTTATTGACTAAAAAAATTTAAAAGACAGTTGCATTGGCCGGGAATCGAACCCGGGCCTCCCGCGTGGCAGGCGAGAATTCTACCACTGAACCACCAATGCTCACAGATGCCTCTTATCGAATTGCTGAATTAACATGCATACATCAACAATGTCTTTCAGTCGTTTCCCACTGAAAATGACATGTAAAATTTCTAGTGTCCAAACACTGGACATCAAAATTACAAAAGAAGACAAACAGGAAGAGGGGCAAATGAGGAAAAGATTAACGCCCAACGTGGGGCTCGAACCCACGACCCTGAGATTAAGAGTCTCATGCTCTACCGACTGAGCTAGCCGGGCTTTCAGCTTTAACCTCAACCCCTAGTGTTTCAAAATTCACACTTACGCTTTAGCATAGTTTTAGATGATAGGAAGACTAATACTAAAATTGATATCCAATCCAAGCAAACTAAAATTTTTAAACTACAAGACACAGTAGCTGTGAAATTCATTTATCTATAAAACATATCTCTAAAATGTACTCAAAGTGCCATAAAGTCGATTCTGTTCATATGGATGTAAACAAAATATTCTGCCCCGTGTGAGGCTCGAACTCACGACCTTCAGATTATGAGACTGACGCGCTGCCTACTGCGCCAACGAGGCTTGCCACTACAGTTAACAAGAAGGTTTTTTACACACAACGGAGCTAAAGCTACTATGGCACTGTCATAAATAGGTAAAATTGGATACTGGAATTTCGTGAAGATCAATTGGCAACAAGTGTTGCCAATTATAAAATGTTGCCTTATAAAATAAATAAACAAACAAACAAAAATCCTTTATAAAACATTAACATTTTCAAAATTAGAATAGAGCACACATGGCATTACTGTGAAGCACTTTCTACATATTTCTGGTTTTTAAATGTGCTATATAAATAAAGTTGTACTGTATTGCATTGTATTGTATTGCATTGGCACATGTAGTTCTTTTTATTTTCCAAAGGGGTGAAGTAGAACCTTCTTACTTCATAAAAGCATTATGCATAAACTGCATACCAACATTTTAGTGCATTTTTATTATAAAAATATGAACATGCAGTGCATATTTACCCAGCTGACTGTGCACTGTGCTTCTGGCACGCCACAGTGATGGTTAAGAAGTTGGCAACTACCTTCAAACTTAAAAAATGTTAAACCTGCTGACAGCTAGCACACCAAACAAAACTCTTTCACATATGTTTATTAAAACAGTCATATCCAGCAGCTTAAAAAGAAGAAAATTTGCACTGGTGTTAATAACCAAGTAACTGTAGTTTAGGCGTCATGCTGATGCTAATGAGCAGGTAGTAGGTAGGCTAGTATTAGTGGCTAGTTGTTCGCTAGTCACCACCTCAAGCTAACAATATCTGCACAAAAACACGTTATTTTAAACTTAACAGAGGAAATTCACAAAAAACAATACAAGCATCCTCATTCTAGCCCTACAGTGCCTCACCTTGTGTCATGTAGTTAACATCGTCTGCGCTTTTTTCCCTCGACACACATGTCCGAAGTCCGTGCAGTCACCCGCTAGTAAACTCCTCTCCAGACTCTATTTCCACTGAGGTTTGCTTTAACAATATAAATAGAAATAACTAGTTTTTATGCTTCTGTAGGCAACCTAAATTCATGTGGTTATATAGTGGTAGTCTTGCTATGGTGTGTCCGAGTAAAAACCCGCATCACGACCAGTTCGAGCAGCAAATGGAGGATGCTCGAGCCAAGTCATGAGCACGTGGTGTGAAAAAGTACAAGGCGTGCCCGAACATGAAGTTTTGCTGCATAGCGCTTAAAAACAGAAGTAACTACCGTATCAAAGTCCATTATTTTATCTTACAAACTTAGTTATTTCACTTTTTTACTATTTATTTTTTATTGATTCATTTATTTTTTTTAAAACACTGATGTCTAAAACCACTATGTATTATTTAATTTAGAAAATTATGGAGCAAAATTTAAAAAGAAAATGCTTTAAAATAGTTTAGGCATTTTGGAAGTCTTAAAAATGTTGTTTAGCCACAGTATACAATATTGTCTCAGTGTTAAAAAATGTTAATAAACATTTATTGGTTTTTGAAAATTAAAATTATACTAAAAGAAATATTGAACTTAAGAGGGAGGTTTTGTTTCCAGGTCTTGTCACTGCTCATAACACAGATACAGCAAACTGGTTACGTTCCAGGGAAATTCAAAAAGTCATCAGAAATTCTGTATAAAGGGATCTGTTACATTAATTCAACAGCATTGTTACAGAATGTGGTATAACAATTATTACATTATTACAAACAACCGTTGTTGTCAAAGGTTTGTCAAAAGTAAGTCAGAGCTGCACTTGATTTAATTAATTATACTACAATTAGTAGTTTATTAGCCCAACTATGGATAAGGATTGAAAATGAAAAAAAAAAACCCTTTAAAATCTCTGTGCAGCAGTTTCATACTCTGTATCATTACCATGTTAAACTGCAATGCCCCCATTAAATCAAATGAATACTTGACTATTTTCTTTCTATCAGCTCAAAACAGTCTAGCTATTCCCCTATGACCGCTATGATCTGTCATCACCCAGAGAACTGCTAATCCCTGGATATTTTCTCTTTTTCAAACCACCGGTTGTGTGGGAAGATCACAGTAGATGAGCAGTTTGTGAAACCAATTTGGCCTTAAATCACCTTTCTTCCCCATTATGGTGCTCAGTTTGAACTTCAGCAGGTCTTCTTGGACACATCCATACTCAAATGAATTAAAACACAAAATTCAGACGACCAACTTAAAGTCATATTTAATAATTTAACTTCACCATGCATAAACCATATAGAAAATACTTTACAGCAATGACAATAAAAAAAAACCCCAAAACAAAACCAAAAAAACCCAACACATTTTAATCATGATGCTAAAAAAGCAGCTGTCACAGATCACTGAAGGGTCACAAGTTTTCATCAGGTTAGTCTGATAAGAGTTAGTCTATGGTTAGACAATGTAAATAAAGAAAACAGATAACATGAAAACATAATCCATTAGAAAAATGCTGATGCTATTTTTATGTTACATCAATTTGATTTACACCCAGCAACTGTCCTTGCTTTACAAAAAAAGAAACCAAACCAAAAAAAAGCCAAAAAGGTCTTCAAGCCGGGTGGGTCTTCACTACTCAGTGAACCCCCCGACAAAAATGGGGGGAGGAATGAGTAAAGGTGAGTAGTAGCAGGTGGGGGTACATGCAGAAAGCCTTCATTTTACACCTCCACCCTTTCAAATGGCACTAGTTTAACAACAAATAAAAAAGCATGGACAGATTATTTCTATCATGGACACTGCGTTTATGGCATCAAAACATTACAGCAAACTCAAAAACCTCTGTAATCTGTCACCTGCTCTAGTCAGGGACAAATCTCATCTTCACTGCAGAAGGCAGACGTTAAGATATGAAATACAGACTGGCCTTTGGGCTTGAAATTATCATCACTTCCTCCAGTTTCACAGTTAGATTAAGTGGCATCAACACAAGTGACAGATACATGACTTCCAAACATGTTTACAGAAGGAGAGGCAAAGCACCGATGCAAAGCAATTGGGATTCAATTTAATATTAAAACTTGCCCAATTATCCCACTCAGGCCAATAACAGAGATGGGCCTTGAAATTATCAGTGTGCTTCATTTTGTTGAATTGCAGTCGGGCGAGTGATGATGAATTTCAATTAGTATTTTCATTGCAAAAATCTCCTTCATAACAAAACACTGCTTAATTACAGCACCGCTTTATACAAATGACAAACCAAAACAAAAAACAGTACTGGCCTCACGTATTTGCGTTTCAAGTCAAACGAGGGTGTCCCTCCCCTCGGCATCTGCCACTACAGCAAAGTATGACGGCTAAAGCTGCCTGACAATTACTGGTAAATACTGTGTGTTCATGTCTGACAGATGGTCTGGCACAATACTTCTTGCTCTATGTTTATAAGTTGTGTCAGAAGCAAAATTTTCACTTGGAAAGATGCTCTTTCAGGAACTGGAAAAACGCTTCCTTTAAATAGACTCTCACTGAATTTTAAGTGTCATTTCCTATCAGGTTTTCAATTCAGCTATGGGGCAAAAGGGAGAGCTATGAAGCAAAAGCGGAGCAAAAGAAGAGGAAGGAAAAAAGAAAGGCCATAGGTCCAAATCACTTTAGTTCCATTTGGAGGAATGAGTATGTGCCAAACGTGAGCAATACACTTTTTCCAGTCATTCATTCATTCATTCATCCGGCTGTCTACTGTTAGGAAGCCAGTGCTGCTGCTTCTTCTCTTCAAGAGGATCAAACGGGACACACTGACACTAAGAAAACAACGAAAACTTACCAGGACTTTCAATGATAAACACTAACCAAGCTAACATTTTCAATACAGTCATGTTTTTCCACAATCCAAAAAGTCAAGGCATCCTTGTAGGAAGAAATGACAAGAACTTAAAGATAGATGGTGCAGTGTTTCTACCACACATTGTTAATTCTCTCGCTGATACAGGGTGTTTCTAATACCAACTCATAGAGACAAAGTAGAGCTCGTTGACTTGATGTTTTGCTCCTATTTCCATTAAACTTTAGGGAAATGCTGGGTCCTTCCATCCACTTCTTCACTCAAAGTTGCTGTGTCTCAAGATAGATTTTGTTAAATTGCTTTCATGAAGACAGACACTTCCTTCATTTCTCGATTTATCCAACCATCACAAAAGCAGGTAGTATATTTTTTTAATCCTCTCTAGCGAGACACAAGTTTCTCCCTCATTTTCTCATTAGAAGCCACCTTTTTATCTTTAAAAGCATTCAAGTGTCATCCCCAGTCTCTCTTTTTATCTCCTCTTGCACCTCAGAACAACACATCTTCATTGGTAATGAGACCTTCCACCACAAGTCTCTGATATCGGATATCGTTGAGTGCCGTCATGGCATCCAGCTCGGGCGCCCTCATAAGTGTTGGGCCGAAGACGATGCCTAAATTCTCGCTAGTCATGAGATTCTCCTTCTCGTATTGTGTCACTCTGAATGAAGAAAGAGACCAATTTATATAATATGTAAAAACAACAGTCAAATAATAATGGAGATACCAAAGAAATAAGTATGTAACAAAGTAAAACAACTGCTCGTGTGTGTGTCCGACCTCTTGAGGTGACCCATGAGGTATCGCAGCGTCTCGCAGTGAGCTGGTGGCAGCAGCTTCAAGGCCTCATGGAGGGCCTCCAGTCGTTTCTCTGGGTCTGTTATTTCTACAACGCACACACGAAAATATTGAGATAGTGCATCTATACAAATGATAGGTTTAGCCTCCAGGTCAATATTTTGAATAGATGTCTTTCAAAAATAAAAAACAAAAAACAAAAGACCTCAAGTCTCATCTGATTTAACAATATTTTCCTAATGAGTTTATGACCTTTGTCACAAGTTTTAAGTATTATTTTAATGAAATTCTATGGTAATTTACCACATTTGATCTAAAATAAAAAATAAAGCAAGCTATGACTTTAAGTATGTGTAATTTACAATTTTGTTTTAATTTTGGGGCCCACTATGTAGAGATTTTGGCCTTTAAAATAAAAATATTAAATACTAAATATCAGGTCTGTGATGAAAGTATTTTTAGCCAGCATCATACAAGTGTGGTTTAATTTAGGTACCTTTAAAGTAATTTCTGTTCAAGAAACAGCCCGAACAGACATAGACTTCTGTTAAGGAGGGTAATAGATACTCTTTGGGTAAAGTATAAGCAAACCAACCATACCACATTATCACCTCCCCAAAAACCAAGATGGCATAGTTCCATAAACTTTAACAACCAATGGTGGCTACGTCGATCTTCTATCTAACAGTCTGTTTTCAGGAGTTCTAACTAAGGTTTTATTGAATCTGTTTAAATTTTTACAGTTATTTCAGAAACCTAAATTTCTCCAATAGGAAGCTTAGAAGTCTCATGAGAGTGAATACTGGCGTGTCTAAACCGCCTTCATTTGGCTAACATCGGTTAAAAATGTAACCATACAATTTTAACTGATGTTAACCAGGGGTATTCAATTAAAATTTAAAGAGGATCCAGACAGAGTTGCCTCTTGGTGACCTATAAAAGAGAGGGTTGTCTAGGACTCCTTTTGTTGCTTATTTCCCTATAACCCTGAACAAGTCATCTTTGAGTTTTAAGGTAAATTGTGGTTAAAAGCCTGAACGTTAGACCTACTTGCAGCTTCTATGAAGCGTGGGTAGGCATCATACGTGATGAGGGGTATGGGCAGCTCTCTGAAGTACAGTTTGAGGGCTCCGGTGATGATGTTGATGTCCTCGTAAGCATTTGAGGATATGTCTGCTTTCTCTCCGTCTGTGGAGGAACAATCGTGCGCATGACATTTAATTTATTTGGCAAAAGAACCTGCTTATGGAACATTGGGGGGCGACACTTACCTCTATCAAAGGCCAGTTTAACATCTTCAATCAGCTCGCTGAAGCCTGATATTCTGTATAAACCTTCTGACTGAAGACCTGGAAGGTTTAAATCGTACCAATATTAATTTGATGACTACGATAAGCTTAAATTCTGCATAACCAACTAAAAAAAATTCAGTGTACAGCCTCTCAGATGAGAATGTCTTTATGTCTTAAAGAAATGATAAAATTTATGTTTCTTTCCTGCTATTAGCAAATACAACTGAAATGGATGCAAAAATGATTATTAAACACACACAAACACAACATATGTGAAGGCAGAAGAAAGAAATAAAGCGTGGGGTGAAGACTTCAACTGTCTCTCACGCTCCAGTCAAGTTCAATCTTTTCAAGTCTTTATTGATTTCACGTATTAGTTTCACTCAAGTCATCAATAAAATGCTGTCTGTGGCAGCTCTCTTGAAGGGAAAACTGTCACTCTCCACACACGCACACACACACCTACATTCACAGATGAAGCTGCCTGCGTACATCTTTTTAGCATTGAGTGGGTGGGCTGACACACACAAAGGCAATCGCATCTTGCATATGAACGCCAGCCTCGTGGGTGTTCTCCTTTCCTCCCCCTACTTCTCTTAACCTTGCTGCAAACAATACTTAAAAGCCTTTTTCTGTTATATAATCTCTGAGTCACACATACACGCTCTCTTTCTCTCACCTCTGGCCTCAATTTCCTGTATACACATGTCGACCACCATGGGCCTCTTGGTGTTGTGGGCCTTGACCAGCGTTGTCAGGTCACAGCTGTACACCTTCTTGACGTGCCGAAGGTCTGGCTGGCAGTCGTTGGGTACGACTTTGGAGCACTGCTTATGGACGTTCAACCCACAATCTGACAAAGAAACCCAGAATTTTGTTTTATGTCACTTTATGTCCATTTTTAGACATCTCTGTTTTTTTATTTTTTATTTTACTTGTGATGATCCTTAAGAGTCACTGTTAGACTGCATGATGAAAGTTGCTTTTAAATGTAGGCGTTGCAGAAGCCCAGTTCAATCACCCACACATGCAGTAGTGATCACACTGACAGCTTGTTCTTTGGCACCCAAGCCAGTCTTTTAACATTTTAAAATCCATGAAACGGCGCAGATGAGTCAACAACAGTGAAAGTGATTAACTTTAGCCTGCTCTCCTACTTTTGAGTCATGCTTTAAGACAGAAAGTACGAGTGAAAGAATTGGAAACTGAATCATGATTGGAAGAGGAAAATTACTTTATGGCGAGAAAGAATGTGTTTGTTTGTTTGTGACTTACCTGCACATTTCACTCCCTGAGCGATGAGACCCCACATGAAGTTGGCACAGTACTCACACCAGTGGGGACCCCTGAATGTATGAACCTGGTTAAATAGGCATAAAAAAAGACACACTCGATGTGTTTAAACGTTATATTTGCCACAATAATTATTAAACAGCAGCAGATTGGGTCAGAGAAAAAATAAAAAGAGTGAAACACATCAGTCAAAATAGCCAATAATTGTATATTTGAGAGAAAAGGGTGGGAAAATTATTCATATGATCCAGATTGGGTCAAGTAATACCTGAATACCAGCAGTAACCTTTATTAGAGACTGACAAAAGACTGATGGAGACACAACAGGAGTGCTGAAAGGGTGCTCAGACACAATTTATAGTGAGAGCAGAGTTTTAATCTGCTCATTTATTGCACAAATTGGCTCTGTATAATGAAATGCTAATAACCTCCATCACATCGCAGTACTCTTTGTGTGTCTGTGTGTGTGTCTGTCCACATTTCTCTTGAGCTCGGGACACTGTGGCTCTGTTGTGCCTCTCACTAATAATACACAAAATCATTGTACGGGAATCTAAAAGTAAACAAAGGCTGAAAACATGAAGATTGTGTGTGTCTGTGTGCGTTTGTGTGTGTTTCTTAGCACTCTAAGCCTTCTATGGTGAATTTGAATAAGTCCCCACGAGCTGAATCAGCGATTCTGGCAGCACACTCACACACATAAATAGGATTTGGGGAGCAAAGGAGTGTCTCACCTTGAAGTTGTGGACCTTCTCATACTTGGGCGCCAAGTCGCTCTCCCTCAGGGTGGCCCGCCGCACCAGTGATGTGAGCTGTGAAAGGGCAAAAGATCGGATTGGATGCCAGAAAGTGGAAGCAGGGGAGGTGGGTTTGGAGGGGGCTGTTGCCCGGTTGGCTGCAGCACTGGGGTCCGAGGAGCCCGCGGAGAGTGGCAAGGAGGGAATTGAACCAGCACTGGCATTCAAGGCGAGCGCGGCAGTAAACAAAGAGCCCTTCTGACTTATTTCCTTCTCGCCTCGCCTGCGTGACTTCTTTTTACCCCTCCTAACAACATACGACTCTTGGCTCGGCATTGTGGGATCAACAGAGAAAAAGAAAAAATAATATAAAAGAAAACAAAGTTCAAATCCCACTGATTAAAACAATAAACCAAACAGCCTGCTGAAAAATTTAATTATTCTTAAAGGCTGCTTTAAAATAAAATAAATAAATAACATAAGAAAAAAAAAATCCCAGAATAATTAATAAAGTAAAAAAAAAAAAATAGCAAAACAACTATACTAAATCATCTCACAGCTCCATCTGACAACAACAACCCAAACCGAGGAGCCAGCATGGGACCAATCCTGCTGTCTTAGAACCACAAAGATCAACCAATCAGATTAGCGCAGCATACTGATGGGGTTAAATGGTGCAATTCCAGTTCATTAAAAAACAAAAAACAAACAGAAAACAAACAAACAGAAAAAGCCAGGCAGGCAACAAGAAATCTGTCCTGAAAACTTCAGTGAATAAAACTCAATAAATCTCCACTCCTTGGAAGGTGTTTGTGAAATCCTGATGCGACAGAATTCCTGTGTCTCGCTCTCGTGTAGGTGAACGCGTCAACCCACATGGCTCTGTATATATGTGTGTGTGTGTGTGTGTGTGTGTGTTAATCCGCTTTCCCCATCCTCTACACCAGGCAGAAACAGCGCTTGGGAGGGAGGGAGGCGGAGAGAGCCAGAAGAGGAGGAGGAAGGTGGGGGGAGTAAGCTGAGCTACGGTGCAGCAATGGATGAATTTAACAGGTCACAATGAGAGGGGAAGGAGCCAATCAGGATGCTGCATTTTCTTGTTGTTCGTCACCAATTCTGCCACCTCGATGGTCCCAGGAGAGACGGCGAAAAGGAGGGAGAACGAGCTGAGAAACAATATGTTGTTTCATTCATTCCTTCACATTTTTTTCTTCCTCTTTGTTTCCCCCCGTTTTCCTTTGTCATTCCACCTGCAGCAGCTGGACGCTTTTCCACTAAAAGCTTCCAGTATTTATGACAACTAGGAGCTGCTGTATCTGCCTTATACACCCGGCGGTAACAGATAAACACAAACCTTGTGTCCTCGTGTTGCTCTTGGGTTGCATCCATTGTCTCATGCCACATAAGGAACATTATATAAGAGCAGTTTAGTCTGGACTTAAGTGCACTTTAGAAGACGTCCCTTGTTAAGTACTGCCTCTGGGAAGGGGGATGTTTTCTCTTTTTCGACTTGTTTTTGGCAAAGAATATGTAAGATTTACAAGCTGTGTGTTTTCTATGGTCCCACAGATAGATATAACCAAAGAAACGTGTGGATTTTTTCATCACAAATCCAATTAAAACAAGCTGCCGCACATCCAACTTCATTAATGCTCAGCTTATACACACAACACAGTGAATATGTATGACTGATCATGGATATTTAATGACTGTTGTCACTGTGCTGAATGCAGCGGGGTGCAGGTTGGCTCACAAAAGAGCACCTTGATCACAGTCAGATGCAAAAAGGGATAAAAAATAAAAAAAAGACAGAGAAGGAAGAAGCATAACAGCTGTAGATAAAATCTGCAGAGCTAAAAATCACCGGATATTACTGAGTTTTTCTATCATTTTCTCAGGTGGACCAAAAAGTGGAATCTTATTTTTCCACCACATTTCACCTCACTGTCCAGTGATTTCAATCTGATAACAAGGCTTTAACAATTAATGTTTAAAAACGCACGTCTGAATCGCCCTCAAAGGCACAGTAAAACAGAGTTTAACCCCCGTAACTAAAGGTGATTAGCTGCATGAAAAAAAATTACGAATTTCCTTCTCGTGTTTGTTGTTCCCACAGCGAGCTGCCTCTGGTCTCAATGTCACTGGCGTACTGCTTTGTCTGCAAATCCACCCAATTATGAAGGCACACACGTACACAGGACTACCCCCATCATACACACACACACACACACACACACACACACACACACACACACACACACACACACACACACACA